TGAGTAGGGAACGAGACACTGCGTCCTCTAGGGGTCGCTATGGGAACCCTAGAGGACGCAGTTCGAAGTTCCCATGAAAGGGAACGTCTCAGGTTACTTATGTAACCATGGTTCCCTGAGTAGGGAACGAGACACTGCGTCCTCTAGGGGTCGCTATGGGAACCCTAGAGGACGCAGTTTGAAGTTCCCATGAAAGGGAACCACCTTAGGCTAGTTTAAATAGTTTATTTCTGGAAGAACTTAAGGTATTTAGCTAACATTGACCAGAACTGAATCACTGAATTAAACCAAACTTTCTTTCCAAAATCCACCTTCAAAAACATATCAGCAAACCTGATGTCAAAACGACTGACAGGCAGATATAAATATTACAGGCAGTAGGGGTATAAAATCCATAAAATATGGCATCTAAATTCATTTGTTTTTGTTCTAAAATATCACATACCTGCACTTGATAATGTCCCAGCTGACAAAAATATTCCTTATTTATTTTTTTTAGAACGTTTTACTAACATTCCCATTTAGTTATAAAACCATCATTTCGGAATGTTCTCTGAACATTCAAAACGCAGAGGTTTTTAAAATGTTTTAAAAACATTTTTCCCCGGGTTATGCAAATGCTAGGGGAACATTCCATTTTATTATTTTGCAAACATTTCATGTTCCTTTCGATTCTTCTCTAAGCAATCTAAAACAAATAGTAACATTTAAAAAACCACAGATGAAAGTCCAACTAAAACATTCCAGGAAAGAACATTCCATGAATGGTGTATAAATAATGCTTTTGTGCTAATATTTTGAGATCAGATAACTGTGAATGAAAATTCTATTAAAGTTACCAGAAGAGCGTTTTTTCATAACTTTGATAGAAACTTGCCAGAGCATTATCCAACGTTTTAATGTTCCGTTTGCTGGAGTATTGAAATATTAGGTTAAGATCTCCATTCATTACCTGTCTCTGCAGTGATGTGCAGCTGGCTGTATCCGGGCTGGTAAGAGCCGGAGTTCAGGTACAGGTTGATGGTGAAGGCCTGTCCTCTCCGTATGATCAGCCGATCCGTGCCGTTCAGCTCCGTGTGGTGATCCGTGTTATTGAACTGACACGCCAGATCCCAGGTGCTGATGTCCAGAGCTGAATGAACACAGGATAAAGATATTTACTGCTCTCCCTGCATGAACATAACTGCACACACCGTTATGAACAACAACTGAGACTTTGGTAATAATTATTCTTAAAGCTTTTTTTTTTTTTATCTGATTGGTTGAGCAGCGTTTCAAGAGTGTTGATATAAGAGTCAAACAGCTGTTTGTATCATTCCACCTGTGTGGTGAGGATTTTAGAGTGATTCTTTCTGCAGGTTACAACGTTACGCCAGTAGGTGGCGACAAATGACTGTCTTTATGAGTCATTGAATCATTCATTCAACTGATTCATTCAACTGATTCATTCAGGAACGAAACAACAACAACGAGTACATTTTATGTCATTTTGTTAGTAGCCTAATGTTCAGGTTTTGTAACTATATAGTGACACGTCGCCATCCAATCAATGACTAATGAATTAAAGTAAGTCTCATCCTACACATATAAAGCACTGCAATTATGCACGGCATTTCAAGGTTCTAAAATTTAGACCAAACAGTGAGACCTCCTGTTGACCATCATTTGTGAGCATGCCATTCATAACACAAGAGTATAAATTCCCCATTTGTTCTGTTTACTTTCAGGATATTTCCTTGAGGTGAGGTTGGACTGCATTCAGTCTTAAGACTGAATGTAAGTGGAAAATGTCCTGGAAGAAAGGAATTTCACTTATATTTTGAAAAATTATTTTGGAAAAAAAGTCACAATAAGTGTTTGGTTACACTGTCAGTTTATAAGTACACAATAAAAAAAAGCAACAACATGATTGTACAATGTTATCCAGTGAATGACATAAAATGCACAATCTGTTCTGTGTGTTTCAGTTCTGTTGAGATTGAGATGCTTGAATGTTTCTAATAGGAGCGTCTGCTAAAGAGATACAATGTAAAGAATGCATTGCACATGTGAAGCATGTGGTTTGTGGTTAACAGATGCCATCTTCAAGGACACTTCATTGAGACATGCATGTCATTGATTGACCTCTGACACTCTGACCTCTGACACTCAGTAATTCAGTTCTGTTCAATGTATAGCATTTCTCTTGTTTCATTCTTTTCATATGTGTTTTACATTTTATTTAATTATTAATAAAATAAATAGATGTCAATATAATTATAAATAAATAATAAAATAGCTATTAAAATAAAACAAATAATACAATTAAATTAAATTATATTTTATTATTATGTGGGACTCTTTGGCTGAAATCTGAGAATCATTGTCTTTGTCATTCTCTAGATCTGTTGATAAAAACTCTAAAAATGTGGGTTTACACTTTAGGTCTCAAAAATAAACAAAAAGATTTTTGGTTTCAGGCTGTCATTAAACAGAGTTTCATTTGTGTCCTCAAGCGCTTTGGGGGGCAAAATGTTGTAATGAGATGGAATACCTTGGCAAAATTTCTGCAATGACATCATTATAATACATTATATACAATATTGTGATGGTCTTTATCACACATCTGGGTTATGTGATATTAATGGGAAGTTTTGGGAGTTTTTGTCTGTCTGGAACAATAGAAAGGTACAGAGATGGATGGACTTTCAAATCATAGAGACTCACTCATGGGAATGCAGATTGAGTTTCTCTCTTTAGTGGGTTGTAAACTAACCACCCTGCGGTCAGAAAATTAGTTTCAGACCAGACAGAAAGTGTGTGTGTGTGTGTGTGTGTGTTTAATGGGGGATGTGCGCAGTGGGGTGTTCTCTGTTTTCTATCAGTAAAGCCACTGTCGTAATCTTTAGCAGAGCTTTAATCCTGGTCTAAAGAGATGTGTGTATCTCAGCGCTGGCGTACACACCTCTGTTTAGCTTTCAGACTGACTGATGCTGTGGACGGTTAAACCAGGATAAACCAGCACAGGTATTCTGCAGCCATACAGTGTCACAAACAATCTGCTCACTCATTTCCATGAAGGAAGCGTTTGCATGAATGAAACAATAACAAACAAGTGAAAGCAGCTTTTATAACCAGTGGAGAGAAATAATGAGTCTTTGATTCTCTTTCCCTCATGAAATTCTTGCTGTAATTTTCCATTTATGGTTCGGTCACTATTTTCGAGCATACTATTTTAATCATTATGACTCTTAGTAAATATTGTTAGTGGAGCACATGGTAAACAGCTGTCTGTACTTCTAAAGACATAATGTTTGCATGCCATACAGAACCTCATTCACTAAGACTCTTCAAAGAACCTTCACATGCAGCCGTGGAAAGTACAGTACATAGTGAGTTTATAACTCACTACATAAACCTGACACACTCGTTACATGCCATATAATAACACCAAACTGTATAACTGACCACAGTGTACCATTCGCACAGACCAGAGATGCTTAAACGAATGTAACACAGTGTTCCAGCTTCATTAGGGGTGGAGATGAAGAACTACAGTAAACAAATGTAACCTTTATGCCTAATATTGCATACAGTAGTTAATGTAAACAAGTAAACAACAGCATGTGCATCTCATCCTAGATAATGTGATTGATACATGGACAAAATCAACATGCACACAATAATTGAATAAAAGAATGAGCTTAAAGTTTAATATAATAAATGCATTTAAATCGATCAATAAGTGAAAACATGCAAGCATCAGGTAACCTAAAATGTGCTGCATGTGGTAACATCAAATAAACTGGCTTTGTTCAAATATATTATTTAATATATGCATTACGTTAGGTTACACATTTAGTTTTTTTTTAAATGTCAGAACAAGTAGAAATAAGTCTATAAAGTAACTACTACACAATTTAACCTTTTATAGCGTGATGTAAAACAGATACATATTAAAACAAACATAACTGTCTCATTTATGGCATCTTAAAGTTGAAAACATTGATAAACCCATTGTGAAATGCACTTACCCATGTTAATGCTGTGCTGTAATGTTGCGCTGTTCCAACTGTGTGCGTTCAGTCAGTCAAAGTCAGTGTGTGTGCGCGTCTTTATTGTCCGGAGCGGCGCGTCAGAGCGTTACGCCCACGCGTCAGAGCCTACAGTGACATACATGCTCACTCGTTCTCTGCACTTGCGTTACAATATTATATTGTCTTATTACACTGAATATTGACCTCACTATTTGATCGTTTTTAAATAATATTATTTTTTATCTTTAATCACAAAATCACAATGAAGTGAACTTTAAAGGGGTCATATGATGCGATTTTAATTTTTCCTTTCTCTTTGAAGTGTTACAAGCTCTTGGTGCATAAAGAAGATCTGTAAAGTTGCAAAGACTAAAGTCTCAAATCCAAAGAGATATTCTTTATAAAAGTTAAGAGTCAGCCACGCCTACCTAAAAGGGCTTGTTCTAACACGCTTTTTTTCTAGTTTGAGTGGATGTGTGTTTTGTCATTTCTCTGGGTGCTGCTACAATGAAAAACTTCTACAACGTCTACAAAGAAAAATTTATACAATTTTTTTTGTAAAAACTCTTTAACTAACAAAAGCAAATCCTGTAATAACATCATTCTGCAGGAAGTGACATCATTTTGGTGAATCAAAAAACAGCACAAACATCAGTTAATATTAAGAATTGTGAAATAATTCTAAATAAATCAATTCATTCATTCATTCGTTCATTCATAAACAACTATTTCTCTTTCATTCCAAGTTTACAGAATAAGTTTGCTTCTTTTTTTTTTTATAAACCAATACATTTTGAATCATTCCACTGACAATCAAATTATTTTATGTACACCAGAGACTTTGACAATTCTTCAGTTGTTTATTTTATCAAAGCAATTTTATTAAAAGATTACACATCTGTTTGTGTTTTATGACCTGTGCAATAAGGCTAATTAGAAACAGATATACAAGTAAAAAACAAAGAAACAAAAGATTTTGTAGTTTTAGCATTTAAAAGGTAGTTCCATGAACTAATGTTACTCACTCACACTGACATAAATAAATAAAATAAACTTTATTTTAGAGTTTCACAGGACTGATAGTGTTCCATAGGTATAATGTATGATAACATAAAAAGCATGACGCTATTACAGTATGATGAGCTATACTTCCGTTGACTTTCCTATGATGCTTGTCTCTTGAACCTGTAAAGAACGAAGAGTGAACGAAAATATTAATATGTAGAATATTCCAAATCTCAACCCAACTGAAAAATAGCTAATAGCTTGAATGTGTCCAAAATGGTAACGTACAATGTTGACATTTCACAAATAATAACAAAACAGATGAATTTGTAGGCCGTACTTTACAACATGGCTGGTCCCTGGTTTGGCTCGGTAAGTTAGTGGGTTTAAAGTTGCATTCCTGTTTTTGGGCACATGGCTTTTTCACCTCAAATGAGGCGTGGTCACAGTCTCCACCAATCACAGACGAGCAGCTGTGACCAGAACTGCTGAAGCAACTAACACTTTCTCCTGAGGACACCGAACTCTCCACTGAAACACAACACGAAATGGAAAACAAGTTTATTTTTCTGAATCCACTGGCAGATGTTTATTAATGTTTTGAATAAACTCACTTAACTTTGATACGTTTTTCAGAAAACAAGACTGTCATTTTGCTTCTGTATCTGATTCAAGAATGTTTAGATATTTGTACTGGATAACAAGACAAAAATACTAAGAAAAACTTTTTATTTATTTATTTATTTATTGCAGTGCATTTGGAGAGGTTGAATGATAAGATGGTTTAATGATGTCAAAAGCAAATGCTCAGAACTAATTATTAGATTTAGAAGAAAGTTTTTTGGAATAACATTAACTGATTAAACAGTCAAAATAAGACCAGGAATATGTGTTGGCAAATAATGTACATTTTAAATTGCACATCTATTCAAATTAGACATTGCATATGATATTTTGTGTCAAAATAGACATTGTGAAGAAGGACATACCCAGTGCACTCTGGTTTCCACTCTCCTGGTCTAAATCATCTTCCTCCAGGATCCCGTGGACGTACCGCCCAACATCTCCTCCGCTAGGGCCGATCAGATGACCCACAGGAGACGTGGATCCCCACCCAGAGCCAGAGGACGAATGGCTTCCAGAGGATGACGCACAGCTGGCCGAGCCGACAGAATTCAACCGGAGGACAGGAATCCCACCTACAGTATCATACAGAGTTAAATAAGATCGACTTCGATAGCCAACGTTTAATCATGACAGGTGTTTCACCTCGTCCTGTCAGAGCGCAGTTGACGGCTCGGTCATTGATGGCCATCTCACTGGGCTGGATGTCCATGAAGGGTTTATGTCCGATTCCCATGAACACCCTCTCCTGCATACGGATCTCTGTGTGAAGATCAGCAGACAAACAATCGGGGGTATATTATATGGCCCTTCCCATATATGTGTTAATACATTGGTTAAAACGTAAAACTCACAATTTTTTAAGATATATGTGACCCTGGACCACAAAACCAGTCATAAGTTTCAATTTTTCGAAATTGAGATTTATACATCATCTGAAAGCTGAATAAATAAGCTTTCCATTGATGTATGGTTTGTTAGGATAGGACAATATTTGTCGGAGTTTTACAATTATTTGAAAATCTGGAATCTGAGGATGCAAAAAAATCTAAATATTGAGAAAATCGCCTTTAAAGTTGTCCAAATGAAGTTCTTAGCAATGCATATTACTAATCAAAAATTAAGTTTTAATATATTTACAGTAGGAAATTTACAAAATATCTTCATGGGACATAATCTTTACTTAATATCCTAATGATTTTTGGCATAAAAGAAAAATCTATAATTTTGACCTATACAATGTATTTTTGGCTATTGCTACAAATATACCCCAGCGACTTAAGACTGCTTTTGTGCTCCAGGGTCACATATATCATGTTAGTTTATCATGATAACAAACTAGCAGCTTGACACAACAAACCCCTTAAGGTAAAAAAAAAAAAAAACTTAGTTAATACTTTTATCAGCAAGGACAGTAAATTGATCAAAAGTGACAGCAAATTTATAAATTTTATTAAAGATTTGTATTTCAAATAAATGCGGTTCTTTTTAAATTTTCTATTCATTAAAGAATATTGAAATGCTTTCAACATATAACATGTTTCTTGAGCAGGACATCAGCATATTAGAATGATTTCTGAAGATCATGTGACACTGAAGAAAATTCAGCTTTTATCACAGAAATAAATTACAGTTTACAATATATTCACATAGAAAATAGTTGTTTTAAAATGTAATAATATTTCACAATATTTTTATTTTTACTGTATTTTTATTTTTATCAAATCCAGCCTTGGTGAGCAAAAGAGACTTTTTTCAAGAAGAAAAAAAAAATATATATTTCAAGAAGTGACAGCACAAACATCAGGAAGTATTATCAATGGATTTGATGAATTCTGTATGTTTTGTGATTCTCTAATGACGATGACTTAAGCACAGCACACCGCACTATTTTATTCCTCACCTGGTTAAGATCATTGCACGTGTTTTCTAAATAAAATGTGGGTCTGAAATACAGTGGAACTGCTGAAATGTTAGTTCATAAGGTGTTGTATAATAGCAAACACTCATAGGAAGTTTCAATTGTTCTTTAATGCGCACATCTACAACAGTGCAACCAATTCTAAGGAAAAGTACAGCTGTTAAACATCATGGCACACATCAAATGGGAGGACTGTTATCGGGAAATGCGTGTGGAGGCCGTGAGGGGTGAGAGTGAGGAATAAATGCATGCAGCTGTGGATGGGAAGTGAGCTTCTGTCATTCATCATTTCCCCTTTCACTCCTTTCCACATTCCTCAACATACAAGATCACATTTCAGCAGTTCTTTAGTCTTGATAAACTCGAGCACATTCACATTTCTGGCTCTCAATGAGGTGCTGAGGTTTCAAGGTTTTAATTTCATAAGCAAACATTAGGTAAAAGAACTCAAGATAACGAGTCGATTGCAGCAATAATTGCATTAAATCAAGGCTTTACAGTAAAACTTCAATCCTTTTTTACGATTTGAATCTCAGTTAGGGATTCATTTTTTAACATGCACCTGAAGAGGACTGAATTTCCAAAAAGCCAGAGAATAAGAGATCAAATCTAATCACAGGTTAAACTAATTTGTTTTCAAATTGTGTGTTTTCAACGTATTTTGAAGAATGTTGGTAACCAAACAGTTGTTGGTCCCAACTGTCTCCCACAGTATGGAAAAATACAATGGAAGTCAATGGGGACCAGAAACTGTTTGGTTACCAACATTCTTCAGAATATCTTCTTTTGTGTTCAACAGAAGACAGAAATTTGGTAACACTGCATTAACACTGTAACACTAATTACTGCATATTGATAGTTAGGAAGATAGTTCTTAGTTATCTTTAGCTATTGGTAGGATTAAGGCATGACGATTATGCTCATGCAAAATAAGGCATTAATATGTGCTTTATAAATACTAATAAACAGCCAATATGCATGCTAATCAGCAACTAGTTAATAGTGAATAGAGTTCAAAAGTGTTACCAGAAATTCATACAGGTTTGGAACTACTTGAGGGTGAGTAAATGATATCAGAAAGTTTATTTTGGGGTGAACTATCCCTTTAAGCAAAGCAACAACCTGAATTAAAATAAAACCTAGAGCAAGAAAGTGTGGATTAGCTCTAAACGCTCCTTAATTTAATTCACACTGGTGCAACTCACCATAATCGTATGTTAATCAAGACAAAAGCTAATTGTGTCTGCACAGTCTGCTCACCTCTGTTGAGGACGGCTTGTTCCCACAGGATCCTCTCCAGGTCTCTGGTCCAGTTCTCCTTCACTTCTCGACTCGGTGCCTGAAGGATGTACGTGTCCTGAGACTTCCTCCTTCGAAACCAGATCTCAAAACACAGCCCGCTGTCACCAGAATTATGGGTCATACCGATGTCTGAAGTCTACGAGAGAAAGCAAAAGTGAAAGAGAAAGCCGTCTATATTTGGACCTGTTCACTGATGCCTCATGCAGGGGTTTACCTTGAAGGATTGTTTGTAGATATACGTGTCATTCCCAACGTCGGTTCTGCGTGTCTTGCTGAAGAGTATGAGATCCTGGAAGAGAAAGATGTGACGGTAGCATTTCTTCTTCCTGAAGGTCAACAGGAACTCGTCCTGACGGATCAGCTGGCCCTGTTCCTTCAGATTCACCTGCACACACACGCCAACAAAACAACACATAATCAATCTCACACAAATGAGTAGTGAGCTGAATTTGACCAGCAAATCAGGGCTACATTAATGCATTCGGCAGATGCTTTTATACTAAACTGCTTTTGCATTCAGATTCTTTTTTCAGTGTCTTTTAATAACAATCAAAACGTCATCAAGTTTGTATCGAGAGGCTTGCATTCACCTTCAAAACCTATTATATCTACACTACCGGTCAAAAGTTTGGCATAATTAGGATTGTTTTGAAAGAAGTCTCTTCTGCCCACCAAAGCTGCATTTATTTGATCAAAAATAAAAACTGTAATATTGTGAAATATTATTAAAATTTAAAATAACTGTTTTCTATGTGAGTATCTGTTAAAATGTAATTTATTTAATTTAGCATCATTACTCCAGTCTACAGTGTCACGTGATCCTTCAGAAATCATTCTGATATGCTGATTTGCTTGGGGTATAAAAATAATACTTTTATTAATCAAGGATGCATTAAATTGATCAAAATAAAGACTTTAATAATGCTACAAAAAAAAAATCTATTTCAAGTAAATGCTGTTCTTTTGAACTTTCTGTTCATCAAAGAATCCTGAAAAATGAAATGTATCACAGTTTCCACAAAATATTCATGTTCATATATAACATTTTTAATACGACTGGATTTGTATTTAACTTGATAATAATTTAATAAAATCGTAAGTTACTAATTATAATGCTTTCACGGTTATTCAAACAGCGAAAACATTTATATAGAGAAAGTGAGCAAATAACATTTACATGATCAAAGAACAGTATGACTGACTTCATCGGTAATGTAAAAACATTACTGTTATTACTATATTTTTTTGACCAAATAAATGCAGCCTTGGTGAGCAGAAGAAACGTCTTACAAAAACTATTCCAAACTTTTGACTGGTAGAGTATAAAACTATCTTGATGTGTACAGTACTTCAAAATATCCATCATCATGTAGGGTTTTCAGATGAAGGAGACTGATGTGCAGACAGACAGTGGGATGAGAGGGAAGTGAAGCGTAGGGAGCTGCTGGGAAATGTTAAGACACAAATCATTTTCAACGAGAAGAGCAGACAGAACTGAAAAAAAACAACTCTGTGAATGTGTCATAGATAAGATGAAACGCACGGCTAAACCTTTAAGGTTTCAGACTTTCATGTTACATAAGAGTACAGCAACTCAGCTTTCTAAGCACACACTGAGCTGATATGCAGGTGGAGGGAGTGTACTAGTTAGTGCACTTTTCTTTTTAAAGCATGCAGTCCGAAAATAAATGCATGAAATATGAAGGTATTTATCTTTCTAATTACAGACAGTGTGTGATGTGGGTAAAACTCGCCTTCACCTCCCCCCTAACCATCCTGTTCTAAAAAAATATCTCTATTTCAGTCAGCATTTAGTTAGCAAATATGTTTTGCCACATAATGCAAAACAACACATATAATAGATTTAAGAGTCAGTAAACGCTACAAACATAAGTAAACACTACTGTACATTTTCTGAATAAATTATGGTGATGTTTGCCTGTGCAAGATGATGGGTGCTGCTATGGTTTTTCTAAGCTGTTTTAGTGGACTTTAGTGTTGCTATGCAGTTGCTAGGGTGTTTTACAGGCCAGAAGGATCAATCCATTCATCTATGCGATATTCTGTTCTCTAAATATTTCTTGGGTCGCTCCTTCAATCCAAGTTCAATGTATTTTACCAGGTAAGAATCATGAGTCCGTTCAGTAGCAGCACCTCTTCTCAACTTTTTAGACACTGAAGTTTAATACATCATGTCAAATTACTAACGTTCAGAATGTACAATATAGTGACGCTTGCCACGACATGTATTTTTAAATTAGAGGGTTGAAGAAGAAATTTACCTATTCTGTAAACTAGAATGTATTTGGGGTTTTCTAATTTCTCTCACTCCAGTGTTATGTACAGTATATACTGTTATACACTGTAAAAAAAATAATTTTGGGATTTTGCCTTTTTTTTTTGTAGACACAACTATTTTTTTTATAAATTGTCCAGACAACAAGAAAATTTAAGTTTATTGGCCTCAACTAAGTTGAAAGTTGAATGAACCAGTATAACTGTTATAACAACTGCATAACAGCAAAAAAAATGAAGATACAATTTTTTTAAGGCAGCGAGGTAACAAAGTTGTTATTGTTTTTTACAGTGTAGTATTTATTAATATTGTAATTAATATGTTTTAAAAACATATTTTGAGATTTAATTTGATTTTTAATTTAAGTTTTAGTAATCGTATCCTTTTTATTATTATTTTTAAAAAAACATTTCTATTTAACTTTATTTTATATTTATTAATTACTTAATTCATATTTTTAAATTAGTTTAATATTTTAAAATTAGTCATTTAAAAAATAACAAATTAAAAATGGGTCATTTTAGTACTTCAACTTATTTATTTCAATTAGTTGCCAAGGCAACATGTCTAATTTTTTTTTTTTTTAAGTTTAATTTTTCATCTAATATTTATATTTTTTACTTTATTTCAACTTTATTTTAATTACTGAAATTTTAATAGTTGATAGATTATGTTACTTGAAGTAATACGCCCATTTCGAGGAAAAAAATCAGAAGTATTACAAACTATAAACTGATTCTTCGGGGTACTGAGTGTAAAGATGAATGAATAATGGTCCAAAGAGAAAATTTTGAGTATCATCTTTATTTTATTTATTTATTTATTTTTTTTAATTGCATGAGCTACATAAAAAATGCACACCAATTAATTAGTTAATTAAATAATGTTATTAGTATAATTAATTACTATTATTGGTATATTTGTAAAGTATTTTTATATTAGTTTAGTATTTTAAAATTTAAAATGTTTAATTTTAGTACTTCAACTTATTTCAGTTACTTGCCAAGGCAACATTTCTAATTTTTTAAGATTTTTGTTTTTTTTATCTAATATTTATATTTTACTTTATTTCAGCTTAACATAAATGGCTGAAAATGTGAATCGTTTTATTTAGCGATGAGGCTCACATCACAGTCCTGAAGGTCGTCCATGGCGAGCAGATTGTTGCCGTGGCGGAGCTGGAACTGGATGATGTTCAGCGCGGTCTGTATCTCGAGCCGCTCGTGTCCCGCGTGCGCTCCGGTCTCACACTCACGCAGCATGTCCTGCAGCAGCAGCCCGTATTTACTGATGCGCTGCACCGGCTTCAGCAGATACGAGGACAGATCCATCTTATCACCCAGCAGCTGCTGCTTCTGCTGCAATTCACATCATATTACTACAATTAATAAACAGATAAAGCATCAGAATCAGCATCACACTCAAAACACTTTAAACTGATGTATGTAAAGATTAAACTCATGAATAATTGTTTAAAGAGGACATTTTATGCATCATCTTGTTTGCATGAGGAAATAGAAATATTATCATTAATGCTGTTATGACTTTTTTTTTTGCAAAGTCAACACTGAATATTTGTTACAGGTGTGTCCTGTTCGGAAATGCACCTACGGTTTATGACAGAGTCGGTCAGTTCTGACAGGTATTTCCTGTTGAAATATACTAATCATCATGCCACTCATTTCAAGTCGAATCAAACTTCTGACAAATGAAAGCTTTATCCTGAGCAGATGGATCTCCAAGAGAATGACCTCAACATTTCCCAACGCAGCCGAGATGAGGCCTGTTCCAGCGCCTGTTTGCCCATTACTTTACTTTTTGTCAGATGTGTGAAATATGGCATTACCAGATAAACTCTTTCATAATCTTCTTTTCTGAGGGGAATTTTTTCCCTATTATTTCTCAAAAATGAACAGAAAGGAGCTGGATAGAGATCCTTTAGGTAATACTTTAGATGCTTTTGTTGAGGGTCAAAGAATATTGAATTCATTTCATTGTATTTGTAATAAATGACATGTTATGAATGGGATTTCATTTATAAATGCATTTGTCATTAAAAATGCCTTTCTCTGGCAAAGTCTCGAGTCTCGTTATGCAACTGAATTAGTAATTTATGTGCTTATATCATTTTTATTCCTTTTCATTTAAAAAAAATGATGTTTGGCTAAATTAATTTTAGTTTTAGTAATTTTAGTACTTTAAGGCAACATTTATCATTTTTGTTTTTTAAGTTTATCTAATATTTATTTTTATATATTGTATATATTATTTTTTTTATATATTATTTACTCTTAGTTGCATTGATTTGATATTATATTAAGTTGTGCCATGCAAAAGTATTTATGTTTTATGTTGAAATTGTACATTTCTGTGTCTGTCTAAATGTTAAACAATGTATCCATTTGAATTCATTTGAATACTAATGAAATGACCTTCAAATATCACGTTTGGATCACTTCTGGAGGAAGATCTCACCTTAAAGAACGCTCTCCCGTGATCGATGAGCAGTCTCTCAGAGCGAGGCTTGTTCTTGCTGTATAATGCGTACAGGCTGAAGTTTTCTTTCTGAGTTTGTGAGATAGTGTGAGATAGTGTTAGAATCACTGGTGCAAACAGTGGGCTTTTTGTTTCTTTCTGGGAAGACATTTGAAGTGTATCTCTGTCATACTACATGAGTGGGATGCACTTCTTTGAACAAAAAAAAAAAACAAACAAACAAGATCTGTATATACAGTAAATATATAACATTTTGATAAATAACACATTTTCCCTTAAATTCTCTAATGCATCCAAACATTTGACTTCAGATTTTTGTTGTTGTTGTAATATTCATTGTAATATTCATGCAGTTTAAATAATACTGTATATCAGTTTGTTTTTTGATTACAGTTATGAAAATGTGCATTAAAAATGTGCATTAAAGTAATATATAAGATATTTAATATTTTTAAGAAAATTGGGGAGCAATTTTGACAACAAACACATTGTCCCTCAAATTCTCTAATGGTTCATTTTCATATTCATGGTTCCATTTAAATAATATATCAGTTTTTTGCCAAACATTTTCATTCATGTTCCTTTAGATTTTTTTATTTTTTTATTTTTGTAACATCCATTGTAATATTCATGCAATTTGAAAAATATATCAGGGTTTTTTGCATTACAGTTATGAAAATGTGCATTAAAGTAATCCGTTTTACATATATAAGAAAATGGGGGAGGACTTTGACAACAAATACATTTTCCCCTCAAATTCTAATAATTTTACTTTAGATTTTTTTTTAAATTTAATGCAGTACAAATATAACAAACTCTAAAATGATGTATAAGTACCTTGCAATTTAAATAATAACTTTTTTTGCTCAGCTATGAAAATATTTAGCAAAAATGTTCTTAACTTTCTTTCAAATAATGCAAACAAATATTAATGTTCCTAAAATTATGATATCCTAAAAATTACAAATATCTAGGCTTAAGCAAAATATAAATTGTGTCTTATCATTTTGGGGTGAAAAGCGACCTGCTTTTGTTTTGGGGTTGTATGGCTCTTTCATTAAAAGTGTATTAGTTTCTGGGTTCGTTAAAGCTGCATTAATGGGTTTCTATAAAATAAAGAGTTCTTTGTGGAGCTTTGAAAGTGAAACTGTGAAACTCTTTTCAATTTTAACTGGAAGCTGCGAGTGTGTCCTGCTCAGAGCGCTCACGTGTTTTAAGAAGCAGCGTCCGACGCAGAAGGGCTCCTTCAGACACAGCTCCAGCTCCTGAAGGAAGTGATGCTGGTGAAAGTCTCGCAGCTTCTCCAGGTTCCCAAAGATGCTTCCTCTCTGTCCCCGCAGGTCCTGAGGCACGTCGGGACGCTCCAGCTCCGGCATGTAGTTCTCCACCACGTACCCCAGCGCTCTCACATACTCTCTCTCCGTCTGAAGCAGCTCCTCCATGATGCACTTGAGTTTACTGTCAGGATACAGCACCAACAAAAACATAACGCATCTCTCACTGCTGCTGTCTGACGTCGTCCCTGTTCTCTTCTATAATACTGACATCATTTACAATTACAAATACATAGCAGACAAACAGATATATGGTAAATATTTCAATATCTGACAACATTTTAGTGCCAGGACACATTTGTGCAGTTCAGTTTAAGCCATGTTTAGGAGTGCTACTGATGAGTTAACATGAAGTATGCTAGTCAGGAATCATCACATTTACCCAGAAGCATATAGTATGTCTAATATACTAAAATATGTTTTCCAGTGAAAAACAGAACTAATGTCAAAGTCCTTCATATCTCAAAGCAGTCAATGCAGCAAATGCATGTACATGTTTTTATGCAATAAACGAGGTGGGCGAGTATGATATATGAGTATGAGTATGTCTTACATTACAGTAATGGTATACATCACATATATCAAGTTACTTGTGATGGAAATAATATTATATAATATATAATGTTATAATAAAACTATTTTAATAAATATGGTTTATCATAATATTAAAACTGAATTCACAATGGAAAATATATTTTGGATATTATCATATTAAAAATTGTATTCAATATATTTCTATTATAATATTACAATTATAATATAATATTACAATTATTTCATTTTATTAATATTGAAACTATATTAAATATCATGTGGTAAAAACATTTTTTATTTTGAAGTAATAATGCAAACTATATTTTTGGATAATATCATATTAATGCTATTCAATTAAATGTTTTATTATAATATTAAAGCTATTTATTTTAATAATATTAAAACTATATTAAATGGTCATGTGGTAATGATTATTTTATTTTGAATTTTATAATGGAAATATGTTACTGGATAATATAATATGAAAGCTAGTTTATTAAATATTGTTTTATTATGATATTAAAATTTTTATTTTAATAATATTACATTTATATTAAATAGCCATGTGGTAATGATTAGTTTATTTTGAATTTTACAATGGAAATATGTTACTGGATAATATAATATGAAAGCTTATTAAAATAAATTTATTTTATATTTTAATAATATTAAAACTATATTAAATAACCATGTGGCAATAATTATTTTATTCTGAATTTATAATGATATCTATATTTTTGGATAATATCATATTAAAACTATGCAATTAAATATTGTTTTATTATAATATTAAAACTATTTTATTTTATTAATATAAACACTTTACTAAATAATCATGTGGTAATGATTGTTTAATTTTTAATGGAAACTATATTTTTGGATAATAACATATTTAAATATTTAATTGAATACTGTTTTATCATAATATTTAAAGTATTTTATTTTAATAATATTTGAAACTAATGTGGTAATGATTATTTTACTTTGAATTTGCAATGGAAAATAGATTTTGGGTAATTTGTTTTTTTACTATTTTACTAAATAATGTTTTATTATAATATTAAAATTGTTTTATTTTAATGATATTAATACTATATTAAATAACCATGTGTTATAATTATTACATTTTGAATTTATAATGTAAACTACATTTTTGGATACAATCAAAGGTACAAATTAAAGGTGCTTCATCTCAGTTGATAATTTTCTTTTTATTTGGAACTTGATGGGCACAAACCAAAAGATCAGATTATTAACAGATGAATGATAAGTTGCCTCTCATCCTAACTTGTCCAGCTCTGGGCTGTGTTTCTCAAAAGCATTGTGAGCTCAGATGATTGTAGAGACCATTGGTGGCAATAGTTCCATGATCTACTTAGGCTTACGATGCTTTTGGGAAACGTAGCCCTGTATCTTCACATTTGATTCTTCATCTCTCTCATTAAAATAATGCTGCATGGCATATATGTTGTGTTTGACTCACAGTACAGTATAGCTGTGATCCAGCATACGGTCAGGCCTGCAGATGGACTCGTCCTGCGTTCGGACAAGAATAACTGATTGTGTTGCTGGTGAAATCAAGGCCTGGTGGTCAGATCCGGTGTCACTGCTGAACGTCTCATTGATGTCGCCTTGGCTCAGTCCAGAAGCGCTGGAACAGAAGCTGTCCTGGTGAGACAGTTTAGAGCTCTGTCCATCCCATGATGCTCTGCTTGAGTCACTTTCTTGACGGGAAGCTGCACATGTCTGGACTTTGTGCTTGACTGCAGCATTGGTTTTCCACATAGAAACATGATAGTTGGTGAATCGCAAACAAGAGCCTTCACTACGTGAGCGGACCAGGGCTTTATAATGTGGTGAACGGTTGAACTCATTGAGCCGGCCTGACTTTCTGAGATCACTGTCGCTGTGAGAGTACATCCGACGGCCATTGTGTGATGTGGAAACTTTGCCTTCACTTTGACTTCTTCCTTCCTCTTTGAGCTGGAATGACTGTTGAAGACCCTGAACATGCAGTTCCTCGTGCATGTTTTCAGTCATTATCGGATCAGAGTTTGACGACGGTGATGCTTCTCTCCTCACAGGCTCACAGTGAAGGTCGAAATGCGTCACCGTCTCATTATCACCTTGTCCGGCATGACTATTTTGAGTCTCAGTATGACCGCCAGCAGGGTTTGTTCGGGGGTCGCCTTCATTTTCTCCAAGGCTAGTTGTAATTACGCTCAGGGTTGGACCTTTCAAGTGGGCCTCATCGCGTTTCGCCGCCACACTGTCCTTTTGTGGTGATCCCAGAGGCGTTTGATTTCTATAAGAGGCCTGCAGTATCTCGGTGAGCCGCTGTCTGATGTCTCGGCATTGAGCCCAGACCGCATTCCACATCCATGTCCCCTTCGGGTGCCTCTCCAGCAGCGCCGAGCTCTTGTCCTGAAAGTGCTGGGGCGAGAAGTCTTTGAAACGCTCCTCAAAAGCCTGCAATGCACTCAAGCAGGCACACATGGGAGGGTTTGTGCTCTGTATGTGTTCTAAATACTCCATACACTCTTTGACAAGAGATGAGGCCTGGAAAACAGAGAAGATGAAAGTCATTTCAGGCTATTAAATAGTTATGAAATGGAAGAGGTGGGCAGTTTGACATTACGATTTTTTTATGTTTTTGAAGAAGTCTCTTCTGCTCACCGAGGCTGCATTTATTCGATTAAAAATACAGTAAAATCAGTAATATTATGAAATATTATTGCAGTTTAAAAATAAGTGTTTTCTACTTGAATCTATTATAAAATGTAATTTATTTCTGTGATCAATGCTGAATTTTATTGAAACTTTTTGGAATAGTGTAGATTAATTTATTTGTATTGGAATGGAATTTATTTAGACTATATCATGTGGTAATGACTAAATTATTTAATCTTAAATATATAATCAATATTATATTTTTGGATGATCCAGTGAACTAAATAATTGACAAATAAAAGGCACTTCATCTCATTTGATTATTTTCTGTTTCTTTAAAACGTAATGGACGCAAAACAAAAGATTAGATTATTCATAACAAATGAATGAGTTGTTGTTCCTCTTCTTAACTGGTTTGAGACACGGCCCACTTTATATCTTCTCATTATGATGTTCTCATTCACACTTGTAAGTAAAGTAAGCGGTCTTTCAGTCTATCGAATACAAACTCCCAACTGTTTTTTTTTTATTTTACGATTGATTAATACACACTTTTTTTTGTCCCAGGGTTCCCACAATTGTTGACTAATAATTTGTAATGACCTTTCCCATTAGCTTTCCAGTTGTTTGTGATAATTGCATAAGAATTTATGCAAAATGATATCTCAACATAATTTGGATTCAGACCGATTAATTTATAAATCATTAATGAATCCTTTTAACTGATTCATTGAAAATAAATCATGCACAAATGAAAAATCACTAGGGTTTGCGAGCAAGTTTTATTTTCCCCAAGAGCAATATCATATGAATTAAATATGTTACTGCTCTGCACAATTAGAAATGTGTTTATTAACTACAAATTCCATTCGTTTTAAGATTTTTCATATTTTTTAAGGCCTGGAGAACCCAGTTTAAAATTCTCTGATATTGCCAGGTTTTCAAGACTGTGAACCCTTGCTAATTACTCCAACATGTCTTTCAGTAATTCCCTCTTGTTTCACAAATAAATACATCACACTGCAGAAGTAAAATGGGTTGCAAATGTTGCATATTGACTTTAAGAAGAAAGGGGCAGTTAATTGTCCGTGTTTGTCGACGAACCTCTTCACAGAAACGATAGAGATCGACAGACGTCTCCAGCTCGGATTTACGCTCCTCAGCTTTCAAGAGAAACCCGGTCATGTTGGTTTTGAAAGTGGTGGCGTTAAAAGGAAAAGCCTCAGTTTCAGGATAGTGCGTTCCTTCGCTTTTCCTCTCCACTTCCTTTATAAACGACATCCCTTTTTCTTTTTTCTCCTAGAAAAAAATAAATTGCACACATTATGCAATGTCTCAAAGATGTCTGGAAACCTTCACCTCTTATTATTATCTAAGACAGCACATTCCTGTACCATTTTTCAATATCTTCAACTCTGGAATTCGAACTCGAGCAGTTCACAGAAATCTATTATCCACAATCTAGTCTGATAACATTCAGGGATTCATATTATGGACCATTCATCTAGTCTGTATATTTGAGTAAATGTCTCAAGGATTCGTTACCTTGGCTTGTATAAGAACGGACTGAACGTCTTGTAGTCTCTGCTCTATTTTCTGCTCAGTTTTCTCTGTGTCATCTTTGTCCTTCTGCCATGAATGTTCCTCTGCATCACACCATTTTTGGATCTGTGAACAACATAAACAACAATTAATTATACACAAGAATCAAACGAGCTTAATTTATGGTATTTATGCTCACAGAAGACACTTCAAAAGCTATGGGACTCCAACATGAGATACTGCTGACTCCACCAGACCTCTTAAAGACATCTGTGCTACACTGCTGATCATCACTGAAAACTGTTTTCACTCATCCCTTACAGTTTACATTAAATGATGGTAACACTTTACAATAAGGTTCCATTTGTTAACATTATGGACAGTTCACAGTTCACCAAAGAGTCCACCCACATATTTATTTTGGACTGTTTACACTTGTAAACAGTACTTGATCTGTGCATATTTCTCTCCTGATTCAGACAAAACGAATTTTTCACTGGAGAAAGCTATATTATGGATAGAGGACTCGCTTCTCCAGATGTTAACTGACGGACTGGAGTGGTGTGGATTACTTGTGGATTATTGAGATGTTTTTATCAGCTCTTTGGACTCTCATTCTGACGGCACCCATTCACTGCAGAGCATCCATTGCTGAGACAGTGATGCAATGCTACATTTCTACAAACCTGATGAAGAAACAAACATCTCCGATGACCTGAGGGTGAGCACATGTTTAGAAAGTTTCATTTTTGCGTGAACTGTTACTTTAATGCATGAACTAATATTAACAAAAGAGACCTTATTATAAAGTGTTACCCAAAAAAATCACAAAATCATGGTTACTTACTATGCATTTTAAGAGTTTAAAAGCACAAATGTGAAGCTTGTATTTTTGTTAAAGCACTAACATGAATTATTCATTATTTTTGGATCTAGTTAATACACAGTATCTAGTTAAGCATAACAGATATAATTTCAATGAGTAGATCTTTACATGGTCATGACATGGTTGGATATAACATGATTGTAAGTCTTACTGATATACGTTTGAATGGTGCATTTTAACATTTATTGCCTTGTCCTGTTTACTTTCATTATTTGTGCCTTACCACTATGTTTTTTAACTTAGAGCCAAAGTTATTTTCTGTGGTAAATTGTGCCACAAATGCTGTCGCACCTCAACATTTCTTCATAACTTACTTACAACAGCATGTCCATCCATCATCTAGACCAGCACTGACCAAACCTGAATTTCATGAAACTTTGTGTTGGTCAAAGCCGGTCTTTTCAGCCATTTCTCAAAACGTTCTCTTATAACAGCTGAGAAATTACGATCACTTTATTTAGCGCGGTGATGTTATGTTTCTCTATAAAGGTTGAGACTGTCTGCCCGTCGAACACTGGCTGATTATTCCCTGCGGCACAATGTTTGTCTTGTGTTATTTTCAGCGCTGAAGCACTTTCTGTGGGCTGCGCTTATTATCTGTCATGACGGGATGTAATGCATACTGTGCTGAGCGAGTCCTCTGTTTCTCTCAGCAGAAGAACATGTTCGAGATGTTGCAGTGACTGGTTGGATTTCATCACTAGCGTGTGAACAGCTTCTTCCACCTGGTTATACAGACACGTCACATACTCCAGAGAGTCCCTGCAGGAGACAAAAAAAGACACATAGAAGTGTTGTGTGTTCTTAGCACCTGCACAAAACATGCGAATGTACTGTAAATTTACCATTTTGCTTTTAAATTCATTTATGGTAAATATGGAGTACTGGTCACCATATACTGGTCATACTTTTCCAGTTTGTGTTTCATATCATATATGGGTTCTCCAAAGGAGCTCACTGTGTGTATAACGGCTCTTGCTGTTGGCTAAATAGGATTAACTGGGACCCAACAGCTGTCCAAACATTATGGGCACAGCTGAGCTCTAGTCATGATCAAACATGACAAACTTGAGCCTGCTGAGATTCAAACACACTGAGGGAAATACCTGAAGTCTTCAGACTGAGCAAATCGAGACTCTTCCTTCCTCATCCTGGCGAGAATAGACCCGCCTTCTCTTTGGAGGGCGACCAATCGTGTGTCTTCAAGCACCATCTCCATGGAACTCCGCTGCTCCTGGATGCAGGACTGGACATCCTGAACAACTGATTTAGTTAGTTTGGGAGCACCGTTCCTCAGGAGGTCAAATTAAATAAATGAGCTTTTATATTTTGCATTCGTTTAAAATGAAGTTTGCCATTTTTGAAATTACAAAATAAAAAAATAAAATAAATAAATAAATTAGTATTATTAGAAATTGAGTACAAAATGTGAGAAATCTTTTATGGTACCACCTGTATTTTAATTCATTTTTTGTTACGCAATCGTTTACTGAACATATCTAATAGTTCTCAATGCAAAAACATGCCAATGTGCCTTTAAATAGGGATGTACAATATAACTGTACTATAACAGCTGATTTTAGAGAATTTTTGCTTTTTATTTATTGATATTGGCTATATTGTATATTTCATTTTGCATGCTCATTTCAATTATTTTCCACCTGTCCCGTTACCTAACACTCACTTAAAGGTCATTTTTAAAAACACTAATAATTTAATAACACTGTTAAATATAATCTCAAAAAGTATTCCTCTTTCATACTGTACATTATTACATTTGATTCTTGTATTCATTTGTAGCAATGAAAATGATTGATTGCAGTGTTTGTTTTTCCTTTTATTTAGACAAAAAATTGCATTGAATTGTAATATCAGACATTTCTCAGTCTTCTGACACAATATGAAAATAATTACTATTAAATTTAAATATCTGTGCATCTCTAGCTTTAATGTTAAAAAACGTAATGTGATACACGTGTACTGTATTCCTGGAAATTATCAGAAATTCGCTTGCAGAATCCAAAGTTACCTTTGCGGTGTCTGTTTTTTTAACATCGAGTCTCCTGATTGCTGTCTGCAGTAATGAAGACGCTGCTTGTAGGTCGAGTTGAAAGAGAGAAAGTTTCTGAAAGACATATGCAAAACACACGTTAGATAACCATCTACATACTCTGAAAGAAGGGCGTCTGCTGATTATTCAGCTATTTGTTCAATAAAACATTTACGAGAACAAACCTAAAGCATGTGGCCAGCAGACAGACGGCTGAAGGTTGCTGCTAGTCATCATCAAGATGAAATGTTGTTTATAATCAGCTCACATAAGATTAGGAAAAGTCGGTTTGTTATATGTAAGTTAAAGAGCCTTTGGGTTCTCAGACTTCAACCAGACAAAACACAGAACAAATGTAAAGAGCCATTTGCTGTTGTCCAAAATGTTGTCATCCACTTCACTAGAGCAGATTGTGCAAGTTGACTTTTTTTGAAGTGTTTTAACAGCTGTTGACCGATGGTTTGAGAGAACACGTTCTTACAACAGAAACAAATCAAAAATGTTTAGTGAGTAAGTGGTTGTTGCATCATTTATATTGTGGGCCTTTTGCCACTTTACAGATCATAGAGAGAGAGAGAGAGAGAGGACAGGAAACAATGAATGACGCAAGTTGGACTCAAAGCGCCAGTGCATGCGCATTAACTAAAGTGCTTACGCAAAAAAAAAACAAAAAAAAACAAGTATTTTTAGTCATTGAAATGTTGGGCTACACTCACTCTGGGGCACCTCAAAGTTGCAAGAATGCAAATAATGATAAAACAAAACTGTGATGGCCTGTAAACTTTACATTAAAGGAACACTCCACTATTTTTGAAAATAGGCTAATTTTCCAACTCCCCTAGAGTTAAACAGTTGAGTTTTACCGTTTTCGAATCCATTCAGCCGATCTCCGGGTCTGGGGGTAGCACTTTTAGCTGTAGCTTAGCATAGATCATCGAATCTGATTAGACCGTTAGCATCTCGCTCAAAAAAGACCAAAGAGTTTTCTAATCAGATTCAATGATCTATGCTAAGCTAAGCTAAAAGTGCTGGCGCCAGACCCGGAGATCGGCTGAATGGCTATTTTCAAAAATAGTGGAGTGTTCCTTTAAGAGCGTCAGTATTCACTGAAAAGCTAAAGACATCAGCCAGAAGGGCATTGATTGGTGTTTTTGTGACTGCTCTTCTCCTAACCTGGTGAAACTGTAGCCAGTCTTCATGACTGTAAGGGAAGGTTCCGCCAAGGTCAGAGGTCAACTGCTGTCCATCAACCGTCTTATGAAGAGATTTTAGTGACGTCGCAACATCTATCTGAAAGAAATGATCGTGCACTTGAACATAATGTACTGCATGTGTGTGTGAGACCCAAGCATAAGTACGATTTTTTAAATGTTTTTGAAATAAGTCTCTTCTGCTCACTGCATTTATTTGATCAAAAATACAGTAAAACAGTAATAGTGTAAAATATTATTACAATGTAAAACAGCTGTTTTCTATGTGAATATCTGTTCAAATGTAATTTATTTCTGTGATGCGCAGCTGAATTTTCAGCATCATTACTCCAGTCTTCAGTGTCACATGATCCTTCAGAAATCATTCTAATATGCTGATTTGCAGCTCAAATTTTTTTTTTTTTTTAATTCTGATTACTATCAATGATGAAAACAGTTGTGCTGCCCAATATTTTTGTGGAAACTGTGATACGTTTTATTTTTCAGGATTCTTTGATGAATAGAAATTTCAAAAGAACAGCATTAATTTAAAATAGAAACTGTTTGCAACAAAGAGTGAAAGCAACTATAAAATGCCAAAGGAGTTCCTGCCAACATTCGTGTAACAGTAACAGGTATGATAACAGTCTAAAACCCCCAGATCAACACCTGGAGCTGAAGGTGTGTAGATCTGAACAGAGAGAGCAGACGTTATAGGTGTTAATTAAAGGGTTGCAGGTTTCCATGATGGTGTAATTGCTGGGTACAACGAGTGTGTTTGGGGGTGTTAATTACCTGTAGACCAAGATGTTTTTCTGGTCGAGGATTTGCATCTTTATCAACAAGCATCAAGATAGTGTGCACTGCATGAAGGGCCTGCTCCTGTATAACACATGCATACACCAGACATATGGAATAGTGTGTGAAACATGCAGAGTGACTACAATTGCACTCTTGACTGCCACCTAGTGGGCATATTCATTTACAGAATGTGTGCATATGAAGGATGTGTTCAGGTTTGCATTGATGTTGGTGGTGATGATGATAGTTTTCTTGGCAGATCCTCACCTGAACCATGAGCAGTGATTTGTAGAACACAGAAGGCAGAGGGCACTTCCTGCTGTCAATCACTACGGTCAGTCCCAGCTCTCTGACCTCCATCCTGTAAAAACATACATCTTATTTTACATCATATATGATTCTGGGATTCATCTGAATAGGAAATGAATGAATTAATGAATATGTTTAAGAGTAATTAGACATATGTGGCAGGAGAATGAAATAACCATAGTTCAAGTTCAGTACTGTCAAAGCAACTAACAACCATCAAAACAGCCATCAGCCATTGAAAATGTGCAGCACTTTTTTTCATATAGTAATTATTGGCATCAACATTTGAATCTATTTTAAGAGTGTGTGAATTTTTCAGTTCTTGTAAATAGGATGGCAATTCTAGATATAATGTCTCTTACTGCCCTCTTGTGGTGATTGATCTGTATTTGGTACCTGGGAATGGAGTGCAGGTAAAGCAACAGTCTGCAAAACTCTTGAGGAGAGAGTTGAGAGGACGCCCAGCCTTTCCTGCCCCCGTAGACCTCAACCACGGCGCGGCCAGCTCTGTCACGACTGCCTGGTATTGGTAAGAGAACATGTTGAGTTAAAACAACACGATTTAACAGAATGACCATATTTTCTGTGCATGTGTGTAATGGCTTTGTCATTTTAGCAACAAACATGACAGAATTTAAGAGCAAAAGCAGATAAATCACTACTGTCTGGAGAAAACACTCAGAAAAGTTGTGCATTTTCAGTATTGGGATCGCACGTGGCTGCATGCTAACCGCTATATTATAGAGGCTTGTCAAAACTGTCAGGCCTCAAAAACTGTCAAGAGAAGAGTCAGAACGTTTCATGTTTGCTGCCATCAGAATTTATATTTGATGCATTTAGCTTTATCTAGAGTGGAATGTGCAGCATATGTGCATGTAGAAAGTTAGAAGCAAGTAGGCTAGTCATTTAGAAGGTGAATTTAGCAAAAGTAACCTTACGTATAGGTTCAGACCCCCTGAAGCAATCTGGGTGTTAAAGGAATACTTTACTCGAATATTAATCGAATATTAATATTTTTGTCTTTTTTGTGATCATGGTGTAATTTTCTTGTCACCTTAACATAACATTGGTTGTTTTCCTCATAGTTTCTTGTAAATTTTGTAAGTAAAAAAAAAAAAAAGCCTGCTTATTTGCTCACCATTTCCCTGGTCAAAGTAAAAACAAATTTATTCAATCATGATACAACCGTACATACAGTAGAAAGTCATGTTCAAGACTTTTATTATGTTGTTTTTTCATTATGCTGTTTTCTTCTGTACCCTCATGTAATTTGTACCCTGAATTGTTGTTTTGCTTGGGTTGAACATAAAATTAGATTTTAGGCATAACTTAGAAACTTGATGGAAGATTATTGTCAAGCTTAAATAAAAAAGCATGATAACAGTAGTCCATACAAGTTGTGTGTTACAGTATATTACAAGTCTTCTGAAGTCATAAAATAGTCTTATGTCAGAACTGACATTAGTCACTGATGATTCTCCTTGTATTGAATTAAACAATGGTACTTCTGGTTCTCTTGTATCTGTTTTTCAAACAAATTTACTGTATCATGTGTCATCAGATGATGTATGGACTGTTTTTATTTTATTGTTGTTGATGAAACACAGTAAATGTGACAATTTCAATGTTTGAGTGAACAATTCTTGCTCAAAGGAACAGTTGTTTTATATATTAGTCTTTGCATGGATCAGTCCTAGCCCTGAGCTTTAAAGACTACACCACAACAAATAAATTCACAATTAAAAATTGTTTAGGAGGCATACCCGGTAGACAGATGATGCCTAGCTGGAGAAGGCTGTTGATTGTGGAGTCCTGGGAATGTAAAGTTGCCTGAACTCCATTCTCAGGCTGGCCAGTCAAGAGCTGATCAGCATGTGATTTCTGGAGCTCTACTCCATTAACAGCTGGGTTTCCAGATGAGTAGACTTCTTAGAAAGATGAGAAATGACATTTATTTTCAACACTGGTAAATATACCAACACAAAAGATGGTGATTAAATACCTAATTCAACTTTTTGCAGTTTTTTCTGAACTTATTGCATGATTGAAGAGATGTGTGTCACAGCTAGATGGAGCTGTTGATCTCCCCTTTAGAAAATCTTGAAAAAAAAAAAAACTAAAGCCACCGCCCTCCTCTTCCCATTTACAACGACATCTAACAGCTTCCCCATAAAATGGGGGGGATGTAGTTATTTCTGTTCCCTGCTCTTTGCTCTTGGTCCTCATGAATGCTTTCATTCTGTTCTGCTAAAGAAAGAAATCAGATGAAGGACTGCAGAAATTCCCCTGTGGAACGCTCTGCACACACTTGACCTTTGGCCAGTGTCACATTGCTCTCTTTTAAGATGACCTTTCAGAAGGGTATATTTTCTCCTCAGCAAATGACCAGGGTCAAGGTCGTCTGTAAATCAGTTGATATGTCATGGTGGGTAGCAACTAGACATGGCCTCATAGTAGTTGCATTTTTGCAACTGTTCATATCAGTCATGTTTGAACATGCTTTTCATTTAAGGATAAAGATCTAAAAAACAGCATGTTGGCCAGATGTCATGTTGCTTCGGATGTTCTTTTGACAACAAAGGGAGATGCGGGGTAAAATCTGTATGCAATTAGTTGACACACACAGCAAGGAACCACAGCAAAGAATTGTTAGAATATTTTTTTCGTATTCGACTCTTCAAAATGCCTGTAACAAATCAGAAACACAAGTCCCTTTTACATGCAGAAGTCTTACTCTACTTACCCTTTCTTGCTTCTTGATGCCTGTTTAATTTTGGGGACACCAAATTAGCTGTGTGTTTTATTCCCTGGTCAGCAGGCAACATGGGAATGATCTCTGGATAGACATCACTGCGGCTTCTATTGGCAAGCTTGTGCGATTGCAGACACTCTCTGGTTATTTCTGAGACTGAAGAGGATGAGTGGGATTTAGACCTGTTTTTACCTTTGATCACCTGTACAGGTGAACCTGGGCCTCTTGCACTGAGTCTGTCATCACAGAGGACTTTGTAATCCAAAGGCCTTTTCTCGTTTTGGAACAGGATCTGACTGCACTGGGGCTGAAATAGAGGAGGTTTTTGTTCTGAGGCCTGTGTTAGCTGTTTCTGTGCGTGCTGAATTGGATTGAAACCCTGCAAACATAGATTAGCATCTTGTCTGTTACCACCGTGGTCAGGTAAAGCCCTGAGTCCCATTTTGGGTAAGTGTTGGGCTTTGGCGTGCTTGTGGCCGCTAATCCGCATCTGAAATGAATCTTGTCTAAAAGAGTTGTTCAGACGGTGGTGTCTTTTGTCAGGTAATGCCTTAGTTCCAAGTGCAGTCTGATGGAGATCCTGTTGCCCAGTGAGGAATGACTTGTGTTGTTGTCTTGCTTGGACCATGCTAGGGATCTGTTGGGTCATATGTTGGTCAAGAGACTCTGCATTCTCCCTTGAACTACGGTCATGAGATATGCTATGACTTGAGTTCTTTGGGCTTTGCTTTTGTTGGACTGAGTTCTCAAAGGATTGCATCGGGTTTCTGTCTGCTTGGTTTGGTGTCTGGCCAAATGTACAACTCGAAGGTTTAAGTCTAAGGCCAACTCCATGTCCCTCACAGCTTGGCTCAACCTCCCCTACACCTGTCCTTGTTTCATCTAGGGAAGGCAGCATACTTGCTCTCTCAAAATTCACAGGGTTTCGGAGGGCTGCCATGTAAGACTGCCTATACCTGCATTTGGATTCTGGATAATTTTGCATGCTCTCAGATGGTTTGTTTTGCATACAAGGATTGCAGTCCTCTCCACACAGGTTAACATTACTTTTTGGGGCAGGTTGAGCCGTCCTGACTAACTTGAAGCCCAGTTGTTTTGTGGGCATTGCTATTTTGTTGAGTACCAAAGTCTCTTTCTCTTTGTTGAACTCCATCAGATCCACATATTCTCCTTCCAGCTCTCGGTTGTGCCTGCTGTCCCAGGTATTGGGAGATACCCAGCCAACAGGTTTTCCAGCGAAACTGCTTTTTGGATGTCCCTGGTCAACCTTTACTAATCTGCTACCACCCTCCACTAGCTGAACAGAAACCGCCATCCCATCATTTGCTGGAAGGATCCTAGTTTCCATCTTAAGTGGTAAGAGGCCTACAGGTACCAGTGACTGTGACTCGTTCTCTGAAATCTCAATTTTAAGATCATTCACACGGAGAGTTGGAGTTGAGCATGTATTTGTTTCAGGCCAGATGTTAGATTTGGGCCTGTCAAGGAATTCTGGGTTGGCAACTTCAGTCCAAGGTACCTTCACAACCCCCTGCTCAGAGGAAAGCACACACTGACATAGAGGATTTCCATGACGTCCCTCATTTATTTCCCTTAGCCAAGACTCCGTGAATATGCATGGATAAGATGTCTCAGGGATGGGTGTCCCCTCAATTGCAGGAACCTCCAGCAACCTGGAACCAGCTTGCAGCACCAGATTTTCTTGCCCCAAGAGGTCTTCCTGCACAAGAAGACTTTTGAGGATGATTCGGGCTGACTGTTTTCCAAAAGGTTCCACCTGCAAGTAGAAATCTCCAGGTCGGAGCAGTAAAGGGTTGATGGGTGCGAGTTGGATCACCACACGATCTCTCAGGCACAATGGCCAACCCTCACACCGGAACAGGACATCCGAGTATGCAGCCTAGTGGGAGAAAGAAAGGGCAAAGCTAGTTTGTTGATTTGCAGATCATTTTGGATTGACAGATTTTATGACCACAAGATCCTTAATGGCTTGGGTCTTGATGCCGTTTATTGGCTTGCACGCAAACATTCTTGAATCCCCTTCAGAAGAAGCTGCCTCGGAAGGCCTTTGTTCTTTCTGAAGATAAAACAAAACAATCTTGTGCTGAGTGGACGAGGATAAGTAGCTTGTTGGATCCGTGCCAAAAAAGTCCACATGGAAGAAATGTGTGCACAGGAAACTGCTTTCATCTTGCCCTGCATGCTATCATATTTTACTCTTTAAGGCTTAGTCCACCCAAACATGAAAATACATAATTGACTCACTCTTATGTCATTCTCACTTTCCTTTTCCATACACTGAAAGCATACACTTGAGCATGACCTGTCATGCATCATAAAAGTAGCCCACGCAAACCTATATTCCAAGTCTTCTAAACCTTTATACTAAAGTTGAAGTGTGGAATACGTTTGTTTTGAGCACTAATAGCTGTTTGTCCAAACAATATAAGATAAAATGGTAGTTTTCCAATTGTGAAATTTCCTACTTAATTTTAAAGACATTATTCATTAAAACATATTCATATTCAGTTCTCAAATCTCATTGTATGGCTTCAGAAGACTTGGAATATATGCAAGCCTTTAGACCATGTACAACCTTCTGTACTCCACATAAAAAAGTCATACGGGTTAGGAATGACATGAGGGTGAGTGAATAATGAAAATGTTTTATTTTTGGATAAAATTTTTCTTTAAATTATTAAATTAGGACAAGTCACTTGGTAGGTAGGCTATTGGCCATTTTAGATGGTTGGCTTTTACTGAGGCACTGTTGAATTTTAAATCCGATGGCCTTTTTTTTTGTTGTTGCTGTGATTAGCGTGTTGTACTCACACAGGCTGCTTGTTGCACACTCTCTAGGATATGTTTGGCTGGGATAAGGAAGTTCAGCAGGCACTGCAGTGCATCTCCATGGTAACGTTCCTCAATGGTGCGAAAGAGTTGGCTGAGAACAGTAGGAGCGGTAGCCTCAAACGGAGGGAAAAGAGACGACAGGGCGCTCTGAATGGACCAGTCCAGAGAGGAAGGGTTCTGAGGTGGAGAAAGAGAGAGATTTATTTGTGAGGCTTAATAACTCTTTTCTTTGTATGAAAAATATACAGGGTTACATATAACATGATAGGCTATATGATACTGCAGTTATTGTGCATTATCCCTAAATGCTTTGTTTACAGATGTCAAATGAGGTTGTTGTCAAATGCCTGTGGCAAAACCTTTTCATAATTTCAACCCCTCCTAAATCTCACTTGTTACAGAACCAGGCAAAGAGACAATGAAGCTTGTGTCATGTCAAGGTTTCACTGTTTTGGCCTAATTAAATCCACATTTTCCATTCTGTTGTCCACCATATGAAAGCAGTGTGTCTCTTGCCTAAGGCAATTTAAGTGGAAGAGACGGGCTAGGTTATCATATATGCATGGAAGAAATCATAATGCTGCTGTAAGTATGGCACCTTGCAGTTAAAGAGCCAGTCGGCTTGTTACCTTGTTAATGTTCATGTTTTGAACAAAGGTGATTTATATAGAAAGACATCTACAGAAGCCATAATGAGTATTACAATTTCTCCTGGTTATTTTACCTTTAGTGGCCATATCTCCTTCTGCTTATAATGTCTCTGGGACTTGAAATTGTGCCTGGGGAGCAGTTGGGGGTTCGGTGCCTTGCCCAAAACAAAACCTGTTACAGAATGGATAACCATCTACTGCAAGTTAGAAGTTGAAACTCTTAAACCGCATGTTTAAAATTTTTTTATGAAGCCTAGTGCAATGATTAACCATAGTGAGAAATGCATGCTTTAGCCGTGTTAAGTTGTTTGTTTAGTCTATTAATTTTAGCCAAACAGACGTAGTGACTTCCTGGTTAAGATGATTAAAGTGTGATCTCAGAGAGGAAGTTTATGTCTACTTAGGAAAGAACAAACATAAACAAAACCCTTCCTTTTAGTTTAGAGTTTTACTTTCATTTTGAGTTTTTTAGTTTTAATATTTTAGGTTTTGTTTAGCAGTGTTACATTTTTCGGTAGGCTACAGACATGAATGATTCCTCCAAGTCTGCAGTTTATTGAATTACTGGAGAATCCCCAGTTTGAGTCATTGAATGATACAGACATTAGATGTCTACTTCGTCATGTACTCATCTATGAAGTATGCACACATTGATGTTTAACTGCGCTAGACTTTCTCACGTTCTCACTATTTTCTGCTTGATATTCTTGATTTGAAGCAATTCGAATTGTAAGCTTATCTTCAGTGTGCATTGTTTTATGATCCTGAACAGAATTAGAACAGGACCTTCCACAATGAGTTTAATGATTAATAATTTTGAACAATTGAGGAAAGAAACAATAGCCTTTTTGTTTAATCGTTAACCAAAGTAGTTTGTCTGGCCCATGCTTGCGTCTCGTTCTGGGTGGTCCGTCCCAGGTGCATGTGGAACCTCTTCGGTCCTCTGGCTGACTTTCCCATCCTCAGCCTTTCTTCTTCTTCAGTAAACACATCTGCATGGTGTAGATCACTGTCTTGTCGTGGCTCTGGGCCCGTCATTCAGTTTAACCCCCGTTACTTCTCTGGTTACATGTCCACACCTCTGTTTTCCAAACACGTCCAAGTCAAACTTCATTTAACAAATCCTCAGGATCCCAAATGAAGGATATCTGGAGCCTGGCGTTGTTCCTGTAGTCTGGTATTTGCATTCAGGGCTCTGTCAATTGCATTTCTCAGTGTTTTTGTAAATATCACCCTTAGACGAAGCCCTTGGCCGAACTTTGGAAAGTTAATTTGAAGGCCCATTTGATATCTGGAGATGAGGGTCTATTTTTCATGTGTGTAGAAACACTTTGTAGCACTTCAAGAAATAATGTCTGTCTTCTCACCTGCAAGAACCCTCATTTTAGCAGTACAGTTTTGGTGTGACAACTCTCAATTAAATCTACACATAAATATCTGTTGCTAAAATATATTTTTATTTGGCAGTGCACATGTCTCTCTATAATTACATGACACGGAGCTCAACAGGTAATTGTAAGCTTCAATAATGTTTGAAACACACCAAAGCTCAGCTGTCATTAATTCTGAAGCTTTTTGCAGATGATTTCATAAATGCAAAGTAAACAACCTGTTTCTCAGCAGCCGTGTATTTAGTGGTGTTTGTTTGCTAAGGCAAGCATCACTAATAGGTTACTCACTTACTAAAGACACAACAGTATCAGTTAAGATTGTTATTGTGTGTCTTCCAGTCAATTCTATTAATTTATTATTCATTATGCAAAAAGTGTGAAAGTATTTAGGATAAAAAATGCATGCAATGAAATTTGATTTACCAAGACTATTTTGGCCATTTCATTCCAAAAATAATAAAAATGTCATTTCCAGCACAGAATGCTATTAAACAGACATCATGTGAGGTTTGGGTCCCTGTTTAAAGAATCTTACATTTTAAGCACAGTGCCCTGCAAGTATGTGTCTACGTGTACAAAGTCGTATATGTGCAAGGCCTAGGAGGTTTGTAATTTTTGTGCAAGTACTGTACATGTCAAGTATAGGTTTCAGGCATACCTGGGTTGCTAAAATGCGAAGGCCGTTTTTGACTAATTGCAGAGAGGCAATGCTGTAACGTCAGATTTAGACATGGTCTTTAGACATGGAATCCAACTGCAAATGCACAGACTGAGTTTTAGACTTTATTTAGAAATAAGATGTGGTTCTTGAAAAGCTTCATTTACATGGGCTTCCTCCATAAACACCCACAGATGCCCAGTTGCATGTTGCAAATGGCAGAGAAATTGCATTTTGATTTAATGCTTTCACAACAGTTGAATAATTGTTTGTGCATGGGCATATGTGTCTAACACGGGTGTGAAAATAAGGGCTTTGGTGGAAATCACACGGGGGTGAAATTTTGCATTAAAAAATTGTCAGAATTCTATCAGTTGACAAATGAAATTATAAAGAGTGTAAAAGTGTGTTTTGAGGAAGCTGTGCTTATCAGAGTTCAAGTCCACAGGGCCAAAAGTACCAATAGTTGACGAAAAGCATGCAAAAAATGATGTTTCATACAGTGTTTGAAAACATGATGTGCTCAAATAAGTCTTGACTTGTGCATGTGGCATGGGACAAAAGAGGCACTCAGAGCCTTTAAAACCCTCTTTTCAAGCTCTGTAATCACTTCAGCGTTGCACAAAGAACACAAAAATGTTAAAAGTACAAGTGCTTGAAGTTAGAAAGTCCATGTGCACTCTTGAGACGAACAGTAATCTAACCTGAACGGGATTCTTCATCATCTGTAAGCTTTGGAAAGTCTCTCATTTCAGCTGTCAGATTCCAGTAATTGTGATCTGTTTCTCCCAGCAGCTCTCCTTCTCTTCCTCCTCTCCTCCCTCTTCAGGACAGTGTTGTCTTTGTCTCTGTGCCACTGTGCTTTAACTCCTTAGAGACGGAGTTTGGCACAATGGAGCTTTCTCACACCACGGCCCTCACTCATCATACAAACATCTACAACATCTGACAAGCTACTCCTCGATTAACGCACTCTGAATGCGGTTTTCAAAATAAAGGTTCTTCAATGGTTTTAAGATTGCTTTCACAGTAGCACTTTTGGTGCAATGTATAATTTGTCTATGCATCTTCTTGATCATACTTATTATTTTATTGCATTTCTCAGACCATAATGCATTTCTCATTGGCTTAGAATAAATCGCCTTCATACATTTCTTGCATTCTTTGCATCTTTTGCAATCCATGCACTGCAGACAAACTAAAGTGCTGTTCTGTCCATATATCTCCTCTGACATCTGCAGGTCTCGCGAACACGTCTGTCTCTGCACGCTGCCAACTTATTTTTACAGCTAGTATATTTTATTGACTTTCTCCCCAGTATGCCCTGCTGATGAAGCAACGCTCTGTGGTTTCTCGCTGAGATCCACGACTTCAAGACTGACTCCAAATGATCCCGGATATCATATTTCATTGGATTTTGATTGAGGGTCCTGGGACTTGTTTCCAAAATAAATATTGGCAACTCAATACACACGAAAGACGACAAACATATCACGGCTGTATAGCACACATGCTTGCTTACGGTTCCCTGGACTTCAGAATGATTGGAGCATTGCGTCAGGTGGAAAAGTGAAAGGAAGAATTGAGAACGTTACCACCGTTTTGACAGATACACCCTAAAAATCTGGATTTAAAATCACTAGTCTATGATCTGGCAACCCAGTGTATGTGCCGTTCAGAAAACCCCTTTCTTTCCAGGATGTTTTGTAGGGTACTCCGACACCATGTGACTGGGAACATCTGGATGATGAACCGCATGCTAATAGCAAACAGCCGTAAATCATCAGATTTCTCTTTGTGCGCTTGACAGGAACTCGGCGAGGTCAGAAGGTCCGATATTTTGAGGGGAAAATGCACAAAACATCACAGTCAGTTTGTTGATGGTTATAAAAAGCCCTTAAAATGTATTTTATGACATGTCAGACACAGGGTGGTTACCCTCAGTAAAACGATGTGTTAACTTTGCAGAGTTACAAGAAAAACCTTTTCCATTTCCTTTTTATTTTATTTCCTATCCTTGAGGCATCATACCGACAGTGTTTCAACAGCTGTAACCCACTAACTTATTTATTATGCCAAAACAAATCTGTAAAACCACACTGGGGCTTTAATCCAAAACTTAGTGAGCTCCCTACATAGGCAGTATTTTAGGGTGTCATAGGCACATTCTTCGTGTGAAGGCTTTTCCAAAACATACTTTAGCCAAATCCTAATGCAGCATCATTAGTACTGAATACCAATCCCAGAATGCATTGTTATAAGCGCAACAAAGTGATGGAAATGCGGATTTGTAAATATCCACTTTTAGAGTATCACTTTATCTAAGTGATGTGCTAAGGCTGGAGAATAAAAGTATTATCACAAGATTTATTTCCATATCATTCAGTATCAATATTTTTCATGATATTTATTTTATGCCATTAATAGGGAGCAAATGCATTTCACATGTGTTTAGACCCTGAGAAATAAACAAATATTAAAATAAACAACTTGTTTGTTTACAATTAAACTCCACAGAATAAGATGGCTTTTAATTTAGGGCCCAATTAAATGTATTTTATTTATCCCTAAATAAATGTTTTTGAATGAATACAAATGTATCATAAAAAATTGTGTCTAATGAAATTAAATCACAAAACTTTTAACAATTTAATTGTTCTTTTAAAGTGTAATCAAATTAGAATATACCAAATAATTTATATATGTGTGTATATATATATATAATGTATATAAAAAATGTTTTCCATGGTTTTATTGCGTGTATATAAGATGCTTACAAATTTTTCATTTATACAAAACTCTATGAATTAAAACATGAATGAAAAAATATTTTGGTTGTATGACATTCATAATAACAATAATAATAATAATAATAATGTACAATATTGTACAATATATATACACACACACACACACACACAGTGTCTGTGTTGAACATTAATCCTGTGACAGGGTGATGCCAGAAGGCATGAGTTTGTTTGGTGTTGTCGAGGTCTGTGAGAGCTGCTAACAGGCCCGAGCACAGCGTGACTGTTGTATGTATATGAATGTGAGAGTTTAGTCTAACAGGTGTCAAACAGTCAGTTGAACCCCTGCACAAGAAATCAAGTGTGCAGGTGAGCGGCCTGCTCAACGCTCCAAACTACTCTCACAGGACGTCCCAACACTTCTGTGTGTATATTGCAACCTGTCATGTCTAACGTCACATGATCACATCTATGTTTTTATTTAGCATCAAAGCCATGTGTGTTACTGTAACATGCTTAAAAATGCACTGTCGCTTTAGCGATCTGTTGTGCATGTCATATGCAGAAAGGTGTGTAGATGAGAAATTACAGTAGGGAATTTTATTTTAGCACTTTAATGCTTTGCTTTACCATAAATTATGCCAAACAAAAATTCAGGAGACTTTTATTGATGTTCCTACAAAATAAACATTTAGTGTTTGTTTTTTTCCAAAACCATTCTGTAATAAATTCTAAGCTTTGAACCAAAACAACTGAGATGAAAGTATTGCAATATGATAATAAATGTATTTGAACATCAACAAAAAAAGACAGAGGTACAAGACTTCTTGAAGTAGTGTACTTTAAATTTTCTCTCTGAAAATTTGGCAAATAAAAATTTTTACATTGAAGTTGAACAATACAGCTTCTATACAGCATGTACTACTGTTCAAATGTTTGGGGAGCGCTGAAAATATTTTTTTTTATTTATATTATATTTATATTTTTTTATTATTATTTTTAATTTTTTTATTGTTGTGATCAAAGCTGAATTTTCATCATCATTACGCCAGTCTTCAGTGTCACATGATCTTCAGAAATCATTCTAATCTGATTTGCTGCTCAAGAAACATTTCTGATTATCATCAATGTAGAAAATTCTGCTTTATATTTATGCAGAAACCATGATGCATTTTATTTTTCAGAATTCTTTGATGAATAGAAAGTATAAAATAACAGCATTTATTTGAAAACAGCATTTATTAAGCATATTTTCAAAATCCTTTTGTAACATTATAAATGTCTTTATTGTCACTTTTGATCAATTTAATGCATCCTTGCAAAATTGTTCTTACTGACCCCAAACTTTTGATCGGTAGTATATCATCACTAGTCTCAGAGCTCATTGTATGTCTGTTGTGAAGTTTTTATGTTATCTGTGAAGACAATAAATGGGATCTGACACTTCTCATTTGTCAATAAAACCAGAAATATCAGAAAATCACCACATGTCGGAACATTGGTGAAATGACAGATGAATACAGTATAAGCAATATAATCATCTAAAGGGAGTGTAGACTGGTTTCTGCTCTGCAGGTTCATATTGCAGTTGTCATGAACTCCAAAGGTCTGAATCCTCAAACATGCCTTAAACACACCTCGATCTGCTCTCATTAGTGTGTAAATCACTGCAGTATCAGAGATTAAACACACCTGCCTAACTCAAATAAAACACACCATAAAGCTTCAACTCTCAGCCAAACACCATCAGTCATTTTTATCAGTAACATACATTAAGACAAACTTCAAGAAGTCAATGCAAACTAAAGAAACTTTTGCAGCAACAAAGTGTAAAAAGTGACAAAACATTTATTTTAACTTATAGCCATGCTAAATGAACATTAATGCATGATAAGGACTAAATCATGGTCACCTACAACAGCAGTCAGCTATCACTAGTTCAGTAGTCCAGTTATCAGTGGTTCAGTAGGTCAGTGGCACAACAACACCGACCGTGTGTGTAAAAACTCAAATGAACGAGTCTTATTTACCATCTTGACGACTGAATCGCGGCTACTGAGTTGTCATCCTAAAATCTGTGCCTCCAGCAGAGAAAAATTCCCAGTTTAGTTCTGGATTGGTAATGGCAGCATTCGCATGATAGTCTCACATCCAGAGGTGCTTCCATGGTGTCCGGTTTGGGAAGGCTGGTAGATTCGGACTAATGTGGATTACAGCCATTGTTTAGCAAGTTATTGCAAGTTTGTACAAGAGTACGACGTCTGCTGGGAAATGCAAAGTTTCAAGCAGTCTGTCGTCAGCTCACTGCACCGTTTTGTCTCAACTGTAAAGTGCTTGAGAGAGAGAGAGAGAGAGAGAGAGAGAAAGAAAAGGGTCAGAGAGAAGAGGAGGAGGAGGTCTTTCTTTCAGAGGAAATCCCCCCACACACACACACAGGGTCAAACAAAGACACCACTAAAGCCTCCCTAAATTCTTTCATTTCCTTTGTACAGTTCAGTTTCTTCTCGTTTAAACACTGCAGAGAGAGGGAGAGGCAGAAATATACAGAGACTCTTGGAATGTGTAGTTACACAAACACCTGAGTATTATTCACAGACGCTCTCAGGAGGAGACTGACGGATGAAAAACACTGATGGTTTCTTAGAAGGAATGTCCATTACTTAAACAAACACACACACACACACACACTTCTAACTATCGGCATGAAAGTTTGGTCAACTTTGCAGCTTATTCTAGCCAAGAACCGCCCACTTAGACAGGAAGAGAGCGTCTGATTGACATGTATAGAGACCAACCGTAGTTTATTTTTAAACTGAGACTTTTTTTCTTTCTTTCTTTCTCGAAAAAAAAATGTGAAAGGAACAAAGTTAGTGAAGTATTATTAAAGTTATTAAAGACCACTCAGTTCTTTCTTTCTTTTTGCACTTTTTGTAGGCACTGTTTATGTTACCCATTTTACTTCTGTGAAGTGTTTTCAATTTGAAATTTCATGTGCAATGTGCTTTTGTAATTTTTTTTATTAGTTTTTTGGGGTTTTATATTTCTATTTAGCTTTTTTATTTTGGTTAGTACTTCAGCTTAAACTTGTTTGTCAGCAACATTTCTAATTTTCATTTTTTTTTAAGTTGTTATGTTTTTCATCTAATATTTTAATTCAGCTTTATTTCAGTTAGTGCAGCTATTTTTAATAGTTTTAGTCCGATAACAATGCTGAGTGAAACAGGACTAGAACAGGACTTCAGTTTTGCCATTGAGAACTGAATGAATGATGATGTTTGGTTGAAAAGTGTGTGAAGTAGTTGAAAAATAAGAGCAATTTGAAGTTGTTTCAGAGGCAGAGCAAGTTTGCGATGAAACATTTTGATAAAATACTATAAAAACAGATCTGTAAATCAATCACAATAAAACAAGTATTACGAAAATAGTGTTCATTTTGATTTCATGTTGACTTTAACAAACCAACACCCAACTGAACATGTACAACAGAATATGACAGATGATTCTGGCCAGACATTAAACACAGTGATGAAAGAATTATGGTTTTACCAGTTAGTCCGGAGCGTTAGATGGATAACATCAAGGACACCAAGAATATGAATGTGGATAATACAGTCCTTGTGTTTCTCAGCAATTACTGAATAAAGATAAAGGATGTGAAACACTGTTCCTGATTTACTGTGTGGAAATTAGACTGATGGACAGATGAGTCAAGAAGAAAGAGAGAGGGAGATTTGGTGGGATAGAAAGATCTCTGTCATGTTGTAACATTTATCAGATGCTCAGAGTCTGATCAAAGCCTGTCTAAAACACTGAGCCATGTGAAGCTGAGATGTCTGGAGATAGAAGAGACCTTTCACAGACGACACAAAGCAAAAAACAAGCAGAAAGAGCTACATTATTTACACTGTCTGCAGAAAATGTGCAGATACAGAATAAGTTACAAACCCAATGTTAATACTTAGAGGTTTGTTCAGATCACTAATCGTGTGTGTGAGCAATAGTAGTTGTAATGGCTGACTAAGCAAACACCATAAAAGTGGGGTTATTATTGAAATATAATGTTTTATAAAGGGACAAAAAAGCATAACAGGGCTCAACACTAAGGATTTTTTTAGTTCTAAATAAAATACTTGAAAAAAAGTCTGCACACTCCACCAAAAATCATATGCGAGATAAAAGTTTACTGAGAAGAACAAGGCAAACGTTTCGGGCGCATATTGACCATTTTCAATGCCAAGCTAACAATGTTAGAACTAGGAGCCTAGGCTTGTTTGCCTTATTCTGCTCAGTAAACTTTTATCTCGCATATGATTTTTGGTGGACTTTTTTCAGTGGCTGTTTTCCAGTAGTTCTAAATAAATAAATAAATAAAATAGGTAATGTTTTCATTGTTTTGGACCCACATAACCTTGTATTCCAATAAATAAGGTTGTTACAGTTTGACACCAAAATAATAGATACCAGTGAAATTTCAGAATTCTCGCTTCCAGTTTCGATACCACTGCAAAAAACGACTAACCAAACTAATATAAAGTTCAAACATTATTAAAGATAAGTGAACAGTCAATATTAAAATAATAAGAAAACACACAAATAATTGCAATAGAACATTTATGCAAATGAAGGTAGGTCTAACTCCGTAGTCTCATTACAGTAGTATTCAGGTATAAAAATTGAATAATCAAATCACTGCATAAGGGTGGTTAACCTGGTTAAATATAGATTAAACATCATTCAAATTATAAAAGTGATTTAGTTTCTTTTTGTTGTTTGATTAACATTAATGACAGACAGCAGAAGGTTTATTAGGCTGCTATCACTTCAAGACCTACTGCATGAATCCAGTATAATGATACACATCCCATTTCTCCCTGTTTCAGTTCACTTAAGACGCAACATCTGTGTTTACGAGGATACTCGCCAAGACTGGTATTTTTACAATTCTTTTTTTGTGTGTGTGTATGTGTCCATTCAAGCAAAAAAAAAAAAAAAAACTCTGGTATTCCTGCACGGGCATGAATGGATTAAAATTGCTTGAATGTTTAAATTGGCAAGACTTTCGATACACTTTTGTACTGACGCAGCACTGGCTTGGATGTCCTTCACACCGACCCTGGGCCATCAGGCAGTCCTTATTGTTGAGCTCTGATCATAATAATGCTGAGAGAAAACAGCGAGGAAGGATTGATGGTTCTTGTTAAATCTCAGAAAGCGAGAGACACCAGTGGTTTCTGTGGGCTGCATATTCATTTGGACTGTTGCACTGAACACAAGACCCTCAATTCAGCAAACAACCTGAAGCTGCTGGACCTGCAGGGGTCTGACCTTCATTAAAGGGTCACACGCGCACACACACACACACACACACACACACACTCACTCACTCACTCACTCACTCACTCACTCACTCACTCACTCACTCACTCACTCACTCACTCACTCACTCACTCACTCACTCACTCACTCACTCACTCACTCACTCACTCACTCACTCACTCACTCACTCACTCACTCACTCACTCACTCACTCACTCACTCACTCACTCACTCACTCACTCACTCACTCACTCACTCACTCACTCACTCACTCACTCACACAAACACACACACACACACACACATATTCTCCCTCTCTCTAAAGCATCTTGTCCAATGTCTTCTCTTCACAAACAAAGCAGTAATCCCTCTCTCATAGATATATAAATACATGCACATAGTAAATTGTGTTTACAGTCCCAGTATAATTTGAGTGAATCCCTGTGAGATCAGCGCTAATCCAAAGATTATATGTTATTTTGAATATCTCTCATCATCTACTGATCCTCATGTCACTCCAGTTTGACCCCCCCCGCTGTTTTTCATACAATGGCAATAAATGATGTGCAGGTGCTGTCAAGCTCTTTTTTTTTTTTGTGAATGTTCCCCTTTTTATCTTCTTAATTAGTTTATTTGAATTATACAGAACTTTGGTATACTATATTGTTTTTAAAGTGCTTTAGGAATAAATTGGAATTTAATAAGAGTCTGCAAATCTTCTGCAGTCATGCAGCTTTGTGTGAGGAACAAACCAATGTTTTTCTTAAATAAATGTATATGCAGTTACGTCACAGTTGTTTTGGCATTACCTGATGTGACATGCCTTGACTCACTGTGAATATACACTGTAAAAAAGTATTTTTTCTAAATATGGTCACACTTTAGTTTAGGGGCCAATTCTCACTATTAACTAACAATTAAATACGACTTGCCTCAATAAACTCCTAATTTGCTGCTTATTAATAGTTGGAAGTTGTTAAGTTTAGGTACAGGGTGGATTAAGGGATCTAGAATATGGTCATGCAGAATAAGGCATTAATATGTGCTTTATGAGCGCTAATAAACAGACAGTATGCTAGTAATATGCATGCTAATAAGCAACTAGTTAATATAGTGAGAACTGGTCCCTGAACTAAAGTGTTACCAAATGCCATTAAATTTTTCAATAATTCAATGTGTTACTTGCTGTTTCTTTGTACTTAATTTATTCGCAATTTGTGAGTGAATTATTTCAAAGTAAATTTTACAGTAATTTTTTTTTTCACTGTATAATGAGATTTGAGAGCTGGGCCAGTGGAGACGATTTTCATAGTTTAAATTTCAGTCTGTTCTCACTGATAGCTTTCATTTTACTTCAGAAAACTTATAAAAATGCAAAATTCATATCATAACAATATCCCATATGATACTACATGGAATTTTTTGTCAATTGTGATGCTTGACAACCCTTGGACATCCTTCATTTCTATTGTGTGGAAAAGAACAGCTTGGACATTCTGCTAAATATCTCGTTTAGTGCTCCACAGACATTATTTAAAAAAATAAATCCTAAGAGGAATGTGAAATCGATCAATTTTTTACAGATGGAAAAATTTAGCTAATAGAAGAAAAAGAATGTGTTAGATATATCAGTTGTAGCCTGAAGAACACATCTGGAGTAGAGACAGCTGTGGATAATGTGTGTGTGTGTCTGTGTGTGTGTGTGTGTGTGTGTGTGTGTGTGTGTTAGATCAACCTGAAACGTTAACGAGTGGTGTGAACTAGTATTAGTTGGTTTACAAGCAGATTTTCTGTATTGAGTTCATTGTCTTTAAATTTACTCTTCTGTTTCTCTGTCTTTCTCTCACTCACTCTTTTTTTTAATACCTAAAAAGCAGAGCCGGACACTTCTGTAACCTGTCTCTTGAAATCTCTTGAAAACCCAATAAAGAAATGAATGTGAATCCTACTTATGAAACCAAATGGGCTGAAAGACTGAAAAACAGGCCGGTC